ATCAGAACCGAACCTGGTGGATCCATCTGCTGATCAGCCTGTTTTCTCTCCAGTCAGAATGAAATGAGCCTCAGATGCTTTCAGACGATGAGACAAACTGAGGAAGTTATTTACGTCCTTTAGTTTATTTTCTTTATTTTTCAGGTTATTGTCTGAGGATAAATGTTCAATTTCATCGTTTAAATAATAAAATCATCAGGTTTTGGCGTCACACATTTTTTGTGTGTACGCCGCTTTAGACATGAGGCCTGATGGTTTCAGATGAAAAACTTCATTTATTTTCCTGAAAAGTGAAAATTCTTGAATTTAAACGGACCCAGAACCGGATCCAGAACTCTGCCAGGAGAGTTCTGGACCCGGTTCTGGTGAACTGATTTAGTCATGATTTACATCTTTATTACAGAGAAATCATAAAGGGTTGATAATAACCGATCCTGAGCCGACGTCGCCTCTCAGAGCGGTAACCATAGCAATCGGCTGCCGCTCTGGCAAGGACCTAATCATGGCTGATGGGTCGGTTCTGACCCGGGGAACCTAGCGTGATCTCCAGGAGCCGGCTGATCATCTGGGAGTGTGTAGGGTGAAAGGTCAAGCCGTCCACCTCCATGGCCAGGTTCCCAGTTTTCCCACTTCGTATTCCAAAACGCACCAGTGTTCCCAGGAAAAGCTCCTCCTGGTGGATGCAGAGCGACTGTTAGGACATTGCTTTATGGTTCTGATACCATCAGAACCTCACGGTACCTTCTGGACCGACGGCAGGTTCCTCCTCCAGTCCTGCAGTTGCAGGTCAGAGGTCACCAGCTGCAGTCCCAGTCCTCTCCTCAGGTAGCGCTGGTGAGCAGGACAGGTATGGAGCAGGTAGAGCCCACAGGCCACAGCGTAGCCGGCCCAGTTAGAGACACCTGCAGCGGGTCAGAACCAGAACCATCAGAATGTTGCACAATCGATGGATGAAATGAGCGGTTGGATGCTACCTGCGGTCACGGCACAGTCGGCAGCCACGTCGCAGGCCACCAAGTCTCCTTTGGGCATCAGCTGCTTCACCTTCTCCTTCACCTTGCCCATCCCCAACTCATTGCCTCCGTCTCCGATCCCTGTGGGAACACGGGTCACCTGACCGGTCACTCTGAGGAACTGGGCCGGATCCATGGCGTCAGGCTTCCTGAGCTGGACTCACCTGTGGTCATGACTCCGGGAATGTTCTGAGCGGCGAGGAACAGGTCGTCTATCGGATCCACCAGGTGTTTGATGTTTTCTCCTCTCATGTTGTAATAGTTGCCATCCTGAGCCCGGCCGCTGCGCTCTATCGCCACCAGGTGGTCGAACCTGGTCAGAGGTGGCATAACCACAATGACTATACTAAGTTGTAAAACATGCTGTGACCTTGACACACATTAGCATTAGCTTCAGCTAAACACTAGCCTGGTATGGAACATTAGCATTAGCTTCTTCTAAGTACTATTTAGGTACTTAGGGGAACTAATGTTCAGGAGTAGTGCCCTAGGGTTAGCACAGCTAGCATCTTAGCTGGTCTTGGTCACCAATCATTCTTTGACCAGGAGGTTTGGGAGAGGCCTGCGGACCCAACAACATCGTACTGAGAAGCACGGTGGTGGAGGGTGACGGTGTGGGCTGGAGCTCCTGGACCTGCTCTACTTAGAGTGACCTGAGTGAGGACCAACGGTGTTCAGGTCATCTGACCTGGGCTTGGTGGGGTCTCCATGGTGACACAGGAAGTGCATTGCAGAGTCAGGGCCGCGATCCTCGAAGATGACCAATGGGATGGCAGCTTTGAGGACTCCTAATGGAGGAAACGTCCAATCAGCGTCTGTCTCTTTAAATCCCACCAACCAATGAGCGCTAAGCCCAAAGCCTCACCTGTCCTCACCGCTTCGTCCACCAGAGCTCGGTTCATGTCTGCCGCCCTGTGGTCCGTCAGCAGCGTCACCCGTTTCCCTAGTGACAGCAACATGGTTGCCATGGCAATAGCTCCGGGCGGCCCGTCTGTCTCATCCGGAGGACTAGTCAGGAAACAGGAAGACACCCAGAAATCAGGTAAAGTTCATTTTATTTCTACAGCACATTACAAAGAGCTTTACAGGAGTTAAAATTAAATACAAACAAACCAACAGAAAGAGCAGCAGAAGAAAAAGAATCTAATGTTGACCTAAAGTTAATAAACTAGATACTCCTGTTTCTAAATTTGTAAATCTCCACAGTTTCTGAGTAATAATAAAAACTAAATGTTCCTTTTCTGCGTTGTAATAATAGGAGTCTGAATAATAATCTAAGAAGTTCTTAGAAGTTTTCTAAGAAGTCAGGACACATCGGACCGGTTCTGTTCTGGGTTCTGTTCGGGAAGAACTAGGTGTGCAGCTTACCTGTGCTGGTGGTGGGTGGGGAAACCGGTTACTATGGCAACAGAAGAGGAGTGGGACAGCGCCAGGCAGCAGCGGAGGAGTTCATCCTGGACAAACAGAGCGGCGATTCCACGCTGACCTGCAGAACCACAGAACCAGAACTGGAACCTTTAGAACCCGACCAGAACCTTCTGAGATGGTGTCAGAAGGTCTTGTGTTCTGGTTCCTCTCATCAGAACTTTACCCGGGTCGTCCCCAATGATGCGCTCCAGCTGCCGGATCTTCCCAGCCGTGGCCTTGGAGACCAGGCTGTACAGCAGGGGATTGTGGGTAACCAGGAAGCAGAGCGGGGTCAGCTGTGGGTCGGTGTTGGCTGACGGAGCGTCTGGGATGTCGGTCAGGAACATGCAGCCTGGGGAGTGGCTGAACGCCAGAGGCGGTTCTGAAAGGTCCAAACAGACAGCAGTTATGGCCATGTGAGTAAACATAACTGCTGGTCGGTTCCGGTCCCTCACTGCTGCTCAGGATGGCTTCTATAGACGTCACTCCACAGGCCCAGAAGACGGGAACGTCACCGGGTTGGAGCTCCACCGGGTCGCCGTAGTCCGGTCGGGTCAGATCCAGAATGCCCAGCAGAGCTGCAGAGAAAGCATCACTGATGAGCCTCAGCAGGCGGTTCTGGGTCCCGGCCGGTCCGGACCGCTTAGCACCTGGGTCTCCGACGTGAACCGGAGCGCCATGAGCCCGTGGGTTCTGATGGGTCACCTCCACGGCTGCGTCCAGCAGCCCGGCCGGCACCGGGCGCATGGTGACCACCAGGGGGCAGCGGAACTCCCCTTTGGGAATGCAGTGCACCGCGGTCTGCAAGACACCGCCACTAGGGGTCAGCAAAGGAAGGACACCCTACGGTACCTGCAGAACCCTCAGCAGTGTTCCGGTCAGGTTCTGGTCGAGTTCAGAACTGAACAGAACCGCTGCTGTCAGGAATAATCCTGGTCCTACCCGGAACATGCTGACGTTCCGGCCCTGTTCCACGTTCCGGACCGGAATCCCGGCCTCCTCCAGCCGGCCCTCGAAGCCAAAACTGCAGCCCAGGTAGAAGGTCACCATGTCCGCCAGCTGAGACCCAGTTCTAGACAGACGGAACCAGCAGTTAGCAGCAGGACTCCCTAGATGGGCTAGCCCGGTTCTGACCCACCTGGCCGGATCGCTGTAGCTCTGCAGGCTGGAGACGGTCTTCACCAGGCGACCGTCCTCATAGACGCAGAACTCGGAGATGTCCGTCCTGAAGACAGGACACCATGAGGAAACCGGGTTCTGGTGGTGCCGCTGTGGCCCAGAACCTCCCAGGAGATTCTAGGACAGGGGTGGGCAACTCCAGGCCTGGAGGGTCTCCTGCACCCTTCAGGTGTCTCTACTTCAACACACCTGAGTCAAACAATGAGGTCGTTATCAGGACTCTGGAGAACCTGACTGCACTGAGGAGGAGATTCAGCTGTTGGATCCAGGTGCGTTGGACCAGGGAGACACCGGACCTCCAGGACCAGGACTGCCCAGCCCTGTTCTAGAACCTCTGTTGGATGCAAAGCGGCAGCAGAGGATCTTTCATTCTCACCAACCTGATGTCAGCATGTTTAGCCAGAGGCTCACAGGAAGTCTCTCCTGATTGGCTGCGGTACAGCAGAGGAAGGGGGGCGGGGTTACTGTGACAGAAGTCCTCGAAGTCGTCAGCCATGCGGCGCGGCAGGACCACGACGTTGGCCTGCTGGTATCCTGATGAAGACACACTGTGGTCAGAAAGATGCTGAACGGATCTGATCATTATGGGTCATAATGATCAGATGATCATTATGGCTAACGCTGCAGCCTCTTTGGTTCTGGTCCGCCGGGCCGGGGGTCCACAGGCTCCACAAATCTTCACACTCCAGAGTTACTGATGGTGTTCCACAGAGCTCTGGCTGCTTTCAGTTGGTAAAATCATCAGACAGCATGCTGATGATACTCAGCTATTTCTGTTCATAAACCCTGCAGACACAGACGGGTCCTGAGAACTTTAGTCAGAGACAGACGACCCGATTATTTTCTAGATTTACACAGGAGTGGTTCTAGTTACCCTGATCTAGCTCTAGTTTTCAGGCTTCGTTCATGTAACACATTTACTCCCTGAATCTGATCCCAGGTACTGCAGGAGTAAAGTCCAAGTGCTGCAGGTCATAAACCCATCTTACCGTGAGCCAGGCCAGTCGTGGTTCTTATTTTGGGATGGTTCTGTCTGATTAACAGCCTGAGTTCTCCTGGACCGAGACGGCTTACATTCTGGATCTGATGCATATTCAGATACGGATTATAATCTGCAGCAATTCCTGGAGCCTGACAGCTGGAGAACCGGAGAGCAGGAAGTGCTCCGTTAATGAGCAGCAAAGCCCTGCAAACATTAACAGACAGGAGGCGCCGTCCTGACAGGACCTGCACTACCACCGCCACCCAACACTTCATCCAACCGCACATCGGTCTGAACATCCATCCATCCATCCATCCAACATACATCCAGAACCAGTAGAGGTTCTGGTTCGCTCAGCCAGCAGCTGCAGCTCTGATCTCCGACGTTTCCAGTATAAACCAGTCTTTCCAGTCCCAGCTCTTCCTCCAAAACTTTCAGCTCATTTCAATTTGTAATTCCAGGTTCTGGTTCTGATCCAATTCAGAGCCATTCTGTCTTTCCAGATCAGAACCCTAACCCTGCAGAGGAAGCTCCATGTTTCCAAGGTCATTGGGGTCGTCACCTTGAGACGAGGACGAGTGTCTCCTGAGACTCCTCCAGGTCCGCCGGCAGCCTGTCCTCATGACAGACAGCATGTCTCGCCTGAAGGAGACATGGAAACCAGAGATCATATCCACCTCCAGGACAGTTGCCATGGAGACACAACCTCTCTGCAGGGGGGACGTTATGAGCATGCTCAGAACGTCCAGTCTAATCCAGTCTCAAGTCTTCTGCAGCCTAACAGGTTTTATTCCTGGATTTATCTCCATCTGTCCTCCCACAGCATGATGCTGCCACCACCATGTATCCCTGGATCTGGACTCTGATGAGTCCGTTGGACGGCCAGCCAGCCATGGTCAATGTTAACATCCTCCTCAATTATTCCTTAAATCTGAACATGTGGGACCGAGATTAAAGGCTTAATGAGGAATAATTTTCCAACATCTTATAGCCGTATTGGAGGACCAGCTGCTCGTCGCCACTGAGAAAACCAACATTTAGTTATTCTATTATTTAAATTTTAATACATTTGAACGATTTTTAGAATAGTATAAATCAGCTTATAGCAGATTTGTATGCCAAATTCAGTGTTAAATGATTGAAAAACAACTGTTCTATATTTAGGATAGTTATTAAATGTTCATGTGGTAACTGGGGTTTGCAGAGCCAAGCAGAGTTGGGGGACCGGGGGAAGGAGACTCGGTTCGGTCTGCAGAGACTTGAGGCTGGACTCGGACCGAAACACAGCTGAAAGGTTTTACCATACCATACCAACTTTATTTATAAAGCACTTTAAAACAACCACAGCTGATACAAAGTGCTGCACATCAAAACACAACATAACAATAAAAAAACCCCATAAAATAAAAACTTACAGTTTAAAAACGAAAACATACAATTTAAAACTAGATCCCGCTAGAGTTGAAAGCCAAGTAAAATAGATGGGTTTTAAGACGAGCTTTGAGGCTCCTGGTCCAAAATAACCTTTAAATCAGGACCAAACAGGAAATAAAAACTCTCCTGATTTTTTCCAGCAGCTCATTCTGTCTGTTGGGATCACATTTCAAATAATCAGATTTATTAAAAGAAAAGAAGAATCGTCCGGAACCGGAAGCCACATTTTAGAGTAAACATGTTAAAACTGTTCAAAATCAGGTTATTTTCTGAAATCAGTAAGTCGTTCTGGATCATCACCGTTTTCGCTCTTTTACCTTCAGCATTAAGTTCCGCGTCCTTCTTCTTCTCGTGTTTTATGAGGGTTGGCGAACCAACCATAAAGGAGCGCTACCGCCACCTCGTGGACTGAAGTATTGACAAGAAGTTACCAGGACGAAAATAACTAAGGTAAAATACTAAAGGATTTGCTTAATTTTCTCTTTAATACTGTCACTGTCGATCAGCCTTCAAAATAAAACTACTCTCGAAAACAGTCGAGTCCGTCTCAAGATCAGATCTCTGAAAATTATTTCCTATAAAAATTATTTCAGCTTCGGGTTCACATAAAACCTGGTTCTTTGTGAAAAGCGCCGCCTGGTGGACCCAAACAGAACTGCTACAGACCTGGAGAACCTGAGAAGAACTGAGCAGTTAGGAAAACGTTCTGGTTGTGGTTCTGGTTCTGGTTGGTGAGAAAATGGTCAGCGTTTCAAAACCGGTGGTTCTGGGACCTCCTGAACTCTAGCAGGGTGTGAATACTTCTGGACCTATTCTAAATAGCCTTGGTTCTGGTTCTGATGTCCAGCGGATCCGTCCTGCTGGATTCTGGGAAGACCTTGAATTGGACCACTGGACCAGAACCAGAACTAGGTCCAGAAAAACACAGAAGATGATTTCAGGAGGAGCTGCAGGGAACAGGGCCTTGCAGAGACCACAACAGGGGCAGGGGCTCAAAAAAAAAAAAAACAAGGGGCCCATCTTACCTCCTTCTAGGACAGAATATTAACAAAGCCACTCAGCTTTGAGTTTAATAAACAATGATAAATTACAAAATTGTGACATATACAATCAAAGCTAAGGAACATCTCTATATAGATGAGACAACTATGCATATGTAAGACATTTTATCAGTAATTTCTTTCTGCAGGTCTATTTTGTTATAGGAAAGTATTGAAATATTCAAACCCGCAATTTAGCAAGAAATGTAAATCAGAGCTGGACCACCAGACATATTTTGTCTTTACAGAATTACACTATTAAAATATAAACAGGGGCCCAATGCAACCTTTTAGTGGACTAATCTATAAAAAGAGCTGCCTGGTTGCTGCAGTGGAGATGAAGATGGTCCATTCAGGAAAGCAGAGCTGCATCAAACTTTAAGGTGGAACTGCAGAAAAAGACAAAAAACAAAAGCAAAAACTGAATTGTTAATGTATGTCACCATGAGAAAGTTGCTAGCTAGCAGCTAGCTAAT